GCAGCCGCTTCCACCGCGCCACGCTCATCCGGCCGCACAACCGCAACGGTGGCCAGCTGGAGCCCGGCCCCGCGGGGGCCCCCTCGCCAGCCCCGGGCGTCCCGGGGCCGCGGCGCCGGGCCAGCCCCGCCGACCTGGTCTACTTCGAGAAGTCGCCCGACTTCTGCGAGCGCGAGCCGCGCCTGGACTCGGCGGGCACCGTGGGCCGCCTGTGCAACAAGAGCAGCGCGGGCCCCGACGGCTGCGGTAGCATGTGCTGCGGCCGCGGCCACAACATCCTGCGCCAGACGCGCAGCGAGCGCTGCCACTGCCGCTTCCACTGGTGCTGCTTCGTGGTCTGCGAGGAGTGCCGCATCACCGAGTGGGTCAGCGTCTGCAAGTGAGCGGAAGGCTTCCTTCCCCTCCCTGAGCCTGGCCCTCTGCGGCTTGCCGTCTTGGCCCGGCAGCAGCGTCGCCCTGGCTCCTGGGAGAGGAGTTTGGACCATCTGATCCGATAGGAACCTCCCGGCTCTGAGGGTCAAGTCTGCAATCAGGGGAGAGTCCAGGCCTGCCTGGACCCCACCACTCACTTCTGGGGGCTCCAGGACTGATTTGCCTCCCTGCTTCTTGCCCTAAGCTTAGACGGCTCAGTTGGGCTGGGGATTGCCCGACACCCACACCAGAGGGCAAGTGTCAGCCAGGCAGCCTCTGGGCCTGTCTCCTTTCGTGCCTTCACCTCTAACCCTGGAAGCTGAAGGGCAGGGGAAAGATGATTAGAAAAGAAGAAATGGACGTAACTGAGCTGAAGTGATTCTGTAGAGGCCTAGGATGCCCTCCCCCAAGGGCCTCTGTCCCTCATCATTCATTTAACAAATATTTATTTTGCATTCTTTGTGGCCTGGCACTCTGCAGGGGACGATGGGTGCTGGGGAGACAGATGTGAATAAGAGAGACACAGCACCGGCCTCTTGGAGTTTACATTCTGGTTGGGAGAGAGGGACAATAAACAAGTAAATATACAAACCAGGTCATCTCAGACAATGCTCTGTACCACGAAGCAAATAAAGCACGGTGCTGGATGTAGAGTGATGTGTGGGGAGTGGGGTCCCTTTAGTGTTTATTTTTTATGTTTGCATTTTAAAAGCCTGTTTTTATTTGAGTACAGTTGACACGCAATGTTACGTTCGTTTCAGGTGTACAACGTAGCGATTCAACATCTCTATACATCTGTCACCATATAATGCTATTACAATACCATTGACTCTATTCCCTATGCCGTGCCTTGTAGCGCTGTGACTAATTCATTCCATAACTGGAAGCCCATTATCTCCCACTCCCCTTCACCCATTTTGTTCATCCCCTCGCCCACCTCCCCTCAGGCAACCATCAGTTTGTTCTCTGTGTTTATAGGTCTGATCCTGCTTTTTGTTTGTTCATTCATTTGTTTTGTGTTTTAGAGTCCACATAAGAGTGAACTCATGGGGTATTTGTCTTTACTAGTCAGACTTATTACACTTAGCATAATACCCACAAGGTCCATCCATATGGTTGCACATGGCAAGATCTCCTCCTTTGTTATGGCTGCATGTATACACACACTCACACCCCACATCTTTTTCATCGATTCATTTATTGATGAATAAGGCACAAGGTATTGATGAATAAGACACATAGGTAGGAGTGTGGCCTCTTTAGATAAAGTCATTGGTCTGGGAAGGCCTCTCTGAGTTATGTTACTCATGCTGAGACCTGTGTGCCGAAGATAGCCCCGCACAGATTGAGGGAAAGGGCTTTCCAGGCCGAGGCCATGTGAATGCCAAAGGTCGGTGGTGAGAGAGATCTCCTCAGGAGGAACAGCCAACAGGCCAGTGTGATCGGATGGAGCAATCAAGGGCAGGTTAGCAGGAGAGGAGCTCGGAGGGCAGGCAAGAGTCACATCACATGTCCCTCTGGGCCATCGTAAGGAGTTGGGATTTTCCGAGGAATGAGAAACTTTCAGAGGGTCTTGAACAGGTGAGTGTCATGGTCTGATTCCCACATGGCTCACTGTACTGGGGAACTGAATGAAGAGGGGAAGAGTTAACAACAAGGGGCCAGTTAGGAAACTACAGCCATCTTCCAAACCAGATGGAACCTGCCTGAATGGAGGCTAAGGGGGATGTTGACAAGAAGCTGGAACCGGAGCTCTTAATTCCGGAGCTCTAGCTGTCCACCTTGTGCCTGAGCCCTCTGCCACAAGCCAGGACGAGTGGCGGTGCCCAGCAGCACCCTTCGGCAGAGACAGACACTCTGCGAGGAGTAATCCTGGGCAAGACCCAGCTCAACCCAGCCAGCCCAGCGCCCCAGGGAGCAGGTGGGGCTAGAAGGTGCGGCAGGGAGGAGGGTGGTGGGGGAGGGCTAGGAGACTCACTGTCTGGATGCTGGTCTCTCTGAGTGCATGCAGGGGAGATGGAGTATGTAAGTAAGGCCAGAGGCGAAGGGACATCCTTCCTCGGCCTCCTTTGTCCCAAACCCTCAAGGAGGAGGGTAGTAGAGAGGGAGGTAGAGTGGTCGGGATCTCAGAGAAAGAACACTTCACCTACTTCATCCAGACCTCCTGCTGCTCCAAGTTGAGGATCCTGCTTCCTGCCTCATTTTACCCAGAATGGCACCCTTCTGGATGAACCAGACAAGGATGAAGTCTTGTTCCTTTTCCCGATTGCCAGCCTACACGAACCCCCATATTTCCTTAGCCCATGTCTCCCTACCTCAGGGTAGGGGTGAGAAGGAAAGGACGCTCTCATGGTGGTGTATCCCTGTTGGGAGTTTTGCCCCAACTAGCTTGCCTTCAGCTTCCTCTCCTCCAACTGCCTGCATCCCGGCAGCTCCTGGACATGCCTACGACAGCCAGGCCTTCCACATGCTCAGCTCCGCTGCTTCTGGGGAGGACAGAGTTTCTCTCCCCAACCCCCAAAAGACAGCCCCACAGGCAGGCGGGTTAGAGTCCCCCGGGGAGGAGGGGTAAGCGGGAGCAGCCGACACACCTGCCTCATTCCTTTCCTCTTGTTCACCCAGGAGGGAGCTGTGGGGGCTGGGTTCCCCGCCCCCTTGCTCCCTCCCATCCCAGGGAGGAGGAGAAAAGAGGTAGGGGGTGAGGAAGAGAGGCCTGAGTGGGGAGCACTCCCACCCCCAGCAGTGTCCACTGCGTATTAGCTTTGACCTCACCCTCCGGTGCCTTCCAGGCTTAAGGAGCACAGAGCCAGGGGGAGGAGAGACTGGAGAGATACAGGATCAGGGCTGGGATAATGAGGTAGGAGCAGGAATACTGCAGAGCCTGCTGCCTCCAGAGAGGAGTGAGTGGTGGGGTGGGGCAGGGGCTGGACACCACGTTGTGGGGGGAAGGACGTGTTCCAGTCAAGTCCTGGTGAGCTGATATATGCTGGCAGGATCTGTAAAGGAAAAGAGTGAAAGTTGGGGAAGGAACAAACAAGGTGTTACCCACTCCATATCCTCCCTCCGGGCCAGAAGCTGGCTAGGGTCTCAGGGCAAAAGCTGGACCCCACAACTGAAAAGGGGGATGTAGGATCTGGCCATGGTCTTAAAGGGAGATGTGGAGGTGATGAAGGGCAGGAAAATAGGGCCCAAGGGGCACGGGGCTTAGGCATCCTGGCTGAAGGGCGAGACAGAAATCAATGTGCTGACTGGAAATTGGGGGTGATGGAGGTAGATGGGAGGAAGAACTTGCCAAATAGCTTGGGGGAGGACCAGGGTTGCAATTTTGGAATAAGAACAGATGGTGGACCATAGATTAGAGGGGAAGGGAACTGTCCTGGTCCCCAATACCTTTCACCTTGATGGACCCTGGTCACCTCCTTGCAGGAGGAAAAACTAGTATGGTCTGATAGAGCCTGGATGGCCCCAGCTGGAGGGAGAGGGAGAACTAACAGAGAATGAGGGTGGTGGACAGATCAGCAGGCAGTGGTCAGGTTAAGGGTCAGGGAGCGGCAGCCAGACCGGGGTGGGGATCAGAACCCAGGCATCCTGCTTTCCAGTCGCTCAAGGTCCCAGGGCTGAAATAAGAGGAAAGAGGCAGAGGTAGAGGCCCTAACAACTCTAGGAAGACCCAGGATGAGAAGCTAGGTCAGCTTCTCCAAGCCTTCCTCCTCCCAGATCAATGCGCCCCCAGCTAGCCCCCGGCAGGGGGCCTTCCACGTTGGAGTTTGGCCAGGCTCTAGTCGCAGCCCCCTTCCTCCC